CAATTTTCATTTGTAATCTACACATTTTATCAATAGAAAAATTTCCTTTAGTTTGCCTAATTTTAATACCTTTTACCTTTTGAATTTTTAACTGTAAATTGGTTTGCAGATTTTTCTGAGATGATAGACAATGTCGCGGCCAGTGTCCACGACACAGTCGACTGATCTGCCATGGGATAAAATCCCTTAATTCTTAGTTGTCAAATTCCCGAAGAATCAGACCCGAATTTTTGTTTTCCACATTAGAATTAGTTTCAGTTTCGTTGTTCTCATTTTCGGAATGGGCAGATTTGAGCCCAGTGATAACAATTTGGTATCCCTTTTTTGGTACATATTCTACAAGGTGATGGGGCTATACCGTCAAAATTACTATTAATACGGTGACTTACAACTTTCTTTCCGTTCTTGATATTACCGTTAGATTTATTTCCAATTTGTTGAAAACTATGAGGTTTGTAATTAGATGCATTGGGTCGATTATCAACAAACTGACGATTATTATTTCGGAAATTAGCTTGTCTGAATTGCTGACTATTCCTATGTGAATTTTCATCTTTAAATTCATGAATTTGTCGAAGTTTGTGGGCTTGTTCTAGCCAAGTTATCGGATCAGCGGGACTTTGAACAATCATCAAAGACTTTAAGTTCGTTGACAAACCTTCTGTCAAACCTTCTAAAATAATTGATTTATCCAAATTAAGCCGCTTACCCACTTCAATTTTCTTTCGAAAATAATTTGTGATGTCTTCTCTGGCGTTATATTTTTAAATTAGCGAAGTCGCCGAAAGTAGTAAAGTAAGTGGTAAAAGATGTGGGATCGATAAAGTTTTCTTTTAATATTTGTTCAAATTCTGAGTAAGTTTTTAGCTCATGGCAATTTTTAATATAGAGCCAGAGGGCTTTTCCCTTAATGTAACGAGAAATATTTTGAAGTTTCCAATGTTCATCCTTATTTTGGCAGACTTTGTTAAAATAACCTAACCAAGAAATTATATCACTGTCCTTAGAATCTTTAAATGGAATAATATTTAAATCTATTGTATCTTGATTCAAGTTCAGTGAATAGTCAAGATTAACGGGTTCCTGATTTGTCGACATTGCAGCTGAAACTTTAAAATTTTCTTGAGAACAAAAAATGTGCACTTTTCTCAAAATATTTTTACAATAGTTAAAATATTTTTTTAAACTAAAAACTCTTCAGAGTACTATCAACACTTCATAGAATAATAGACTTAAATAAAATTTTGTATTCTCAAATTTTATGATTATCACTACACATTTCAGGATAATATCAAATCTTACTTAGAATATTATTAAATTAGAATAAGACTTGAAATTTAAATAAACTCGTAATTACTTTAACACAATATATTTAAAACAAACTATTGTCGTAGCAACTTAGTTTACACACTGAGAAAAAATAATTTCTTAAAATATGTTCTTACTTGGCTGTTGAGTACACTATTTAATCCTGCTCGTTTGTGTGCTGTTAAAAAAAAAAAAAAAAAAGCATAAATATTGAATTTCTTCAGCTTCTTTCCAGCAGACGATATCCAAATCATGCGGTTCTAACTATGAGACGTGCTCAAAATGCGACAACAAAGCTGTATCACAATTCACAATTCTCCAATTAAAAAAAAAAAAAAAAAAAAATATATGATTGAAATTTTTCACTTCTTTCCAGCAGACGATATCCAAATCATGTGGTTCTAACTATGAGACACACTCAAAATGCGACAACAAAGCTGTATCACAATTCTTCAATTTGAAAAAAAAAAAAAATGACACAGCATAAATGATTGAATTTCTTCAGCTTCTTTCCAGCAGACGATATCCAAATCATGTGGTTCTAACTATGAGACGCGCTCAAAATTTGAAGACAAAGCTGTATCACAATTCATATTTTCTTCAGTTGTAAAAAAACAGACACAACTTGCACTTAAAAAGTTCTTTCTCTTCCACTGGAATTATTTTCCTTTTGGGTACATCCATCCTGCCGATTCCTTGTGATGTACCAGCTTTTGTCCGGAATAAAAATTGGTGAAGAATCATAGATGTAGTCGTAGCTTAAATCATCAGACGATAAGATTTAAAAACAGGATCCATTTATTATATTTCAGGAGATTATATTTAGGATTATATTATTATTTCAGGAGATATTATTTATTAATTACAAAAATTAAGATCTCTGGAGTAAATTAAAAAGAATTACTAATAACTTTTTGTATGAAGTTTACTGCATCATGGCATTTAAGAAAAGCCCCCGATATTCTTTTGCGAGTCCTTTTATAGCCTCTGGAAAGGCGGAGCTTCCAATAAATGACGTCAGCCTCATCAACCATTCAGTTCGCTTTAAATATTTCCAGAACATTCTATAACTGTACGTGTAGAAAAGGCAGGAAAAACAACTTGATTACAGGGCGATGGATTTAATTCCACGTACTTTCAAATAAGAGACCGTCGCCATTAAAAATGAAATGAACATACAGTTAGAATTTTAAGTGTATTCTTGACTATGGAACTTTATTATTACAAATATATATACATTAAAACTTCCAGCCAGCAAGGGATTAGCTTATACTTCAAAAATTAATTGTGAAGTTTTTTTTAAAGTTACGCTCAGTTTTCTGCCTAATTTTTAAGGCATGTTTCTCTGAGTCATTATTGCAATTAATTCTTTGAAAAGTTTTAATTTAGCTTGAATAGTTTTCAGTCAAACTTAAATATCGGGTCATCCAGAGAGTTTTGCAAATCAAAGCGCGTTTCGTGGTATAATTTTTGTTTCAGTATAGCAGAGAATGAAAAACCCAAAAAGGTCGAAAAAGTTCATTTTTGTCATATTATGCCTCCTTACTTTAAAAAATAAAATGCTAGCTAGACTGTTTGTAAAATTTGCACTGCATACAGACATAGTGCTGTTTCTGATAGCACAGTTCAAAGATGGTTAGAAATTTAAGAGTGGAAATTTCAGCCTAAAAAATGATGCCCACTCTGAATCACCATCTTCTAAATTAGGACCTCTTAAAACAAGCTATCACTGAAAATTAAGAGTTATATGATTCAAGAACTATCAGACAGAATAAATATTCCCAAAAGTACATGATCATTTGAAGAAAATTGAGTATGTAAGCTGCTATGATTATAGGCATTCCATAATTTAACAAAGGAGAATATGCTGACGCTTGTTCAAATTTTGGCAAGTCATTCTTTGCTGGGAGGGGGGCAAGCTCCTTTTCGAAACTGCTCATTACTGGAGATGAAAAGTATACAGTGGTGGCCAAAATTGAGGAATCTTTTAAAATTTTTTATGTTTTTGAACTTTGTATGCTTATAGAAAATGTCACGTTTCGCAAAATGCAAACTTGTATATATCATTTTAAAGAGAATTTATTACTGAATTCAATACAAAACACAAAATTCAATTATTTGCAATACAAAAAAGTTATATGTTCTTTAATATAAATAAAAAACACAGTTATGAAGTGGTTTGTAATGTCTAGCTTTCCTGGCCAATCACTGTTCTTGTTCTGAGAACCAATCAAATGTTAGTAACTGCCAGTAAAAGCTGACATCATGTTTACACTTGAAACAATTCATTATTTTGCTTTGTTCTGTAGAAGGAGGACCTGTTTCTTATAACACTGCAATTACAAGTATGAATTTTTGTAAAAATGTTTAATATTTAGTCAAGAAGCAATGACATCAAATAAAAGAGTAGATTGGACACCTAGAAAGAGATGTAATATTATTGTGTTACGAGACAATGGTCTTTCCTATGCTGAAATTGCAAGACGGGTGGTTCAGTGACTACATCTGGAGTCTGAAAGTTTTGTTTATGATATCAGGAGACAAATTCAATAAAAATAAATAAATAAATAAATAAATAAAAAGAAGAAGAAGAAGGAAAAGGCCGAAAATGCTGCACCACATTTATTGATGACAGAAGAATAAAAAGACTATGTCCCCAAGATAGAAAAATATCATCAGCAGCCATCAGAAGTGATCTGAATGATGCTGGTGTTTCTGTCAATTCAAGTACAATCAAGAGAAGATTAACAGATGTTGGATTGAGAGGGAGAATTTCACGAAAAAAAAGACTACAGTGGGCAAAGGAACACATTAATTGGACAGATGATCTGTGGTCACAAGTTATATGGAGTGATGAAACTAAGATATCGTTATTCGGTAGTGATTGGCGAAAATATGTAAGACGTAGAATAGGAGAAGAGCTACATCCTGACTGCATTTAAGCAACTGTGAAGAAACCAGTTAGTGTTATGATTTGGTCATGCATGTCAGCAGATGGTATTGGTTGCCTTCATGTCATCGATGGGACACGTCTGAATGCCAGAAAATACATTGACACTATTCTAGAACCAAAACTTCTACCTTCCATCAGAGATCTCTTTCCCAACAATGCTTCGTTTATTTTTCAGCAGGATTCTGCTCCTTGCCACACAGCCAAAATATCGAAAGAGTGGTTTTGTACAAAGATCATTAAATTGTTGTCATGCCCAGGAAACAGTCCTGATCTCAGTCCTATCGAAAATTTGTAGCACCCTTTGAAAACTCTTGTCCGAATGAGGCGCCCATCAAATAAAAGGGAACTAATTGAGGTTATAATTTTTTCCTGGCATCATGTAATAGCGAAAGAGCTTAAAACTCTTGTCATCTCAATGAAACGTCAATGTGAAGCTGTAATCGAAAATAAAGGGTACCCTACTAAGTACTGATAACTCACTGCAATCATCACTGTCTAATGTATATCGATAACTATTATCGTTTAACTTTTTTTGTATTGCAAATAATTGAATTTTGTGTTTTGCATTGAATTCAGTAATAAATTCTCTTTAAAATGATATATACAAGTTTGTATTTTGTGAAACGTAATGCTTTCTATAAGCATATAAGCATAAGTTCAAAAACATAAAAATTTCCAAAAGTGTCGACAATTTTGGCCACCACTGTATACTATAAAATAACGTTACAAGAAAAAAATAACGAGGTAAGCCAAAAGAACCTGATTTAGTAATACACACGAGGTTGCATTCCAAAAAGTAATGTCATGTGCAGTGAACTACAAACGAATTGTATAGCATGAATTGCTGCCACTTTATCAGACATAAATTCAGAAAAATACTATTTGGCAGTTTTTAAGAGCAGAAATCGAAGGAGTGTGTCCAAAGCCGACCAGTCATCTAGGTGTTGTCTTTGATCATGACAATGTTCAACCCACATTTTGATGAATGTCAAACTTACCGAGCAGGACTGGGATGTTTTGTGTCACCTCTCCCCCATATTCTCTGTACCTTGTCTCCTCAAATTTCATCTCTTCAGGTCACTTCAAAATTCTCTGAACAGCCTGAAGTCCATGTGTACTATCAAACAGCACCTTGATAACTTCTTTACATAATAACTTTAATACCCAACAATTTTAAAAAAATGAATTTTATAGCTGCCAGACAGATGGCAAAAAGTCAGAGAAAAATTATGGTTATATGAATTAATTATAGTTTGTGTGTTTTGACTGCTTCATTTGTATTTATCTTAAAAAAAAAAACTGCAGAATTTTCACTATGATTTAATATTCTGCAAACAATATTTTAATATAATTCAAACCTGTTATAAAAAATTAACCACAGAAAGGAACATTTGGCTTTGAAAGAGATAAATTATAATAATTACCTGGAAACTGAAGCGGGAGAAGCCATCTCGATATCTTCCATCGTGTTCAACTCTTCGCTGCTTTTTCGACTCTCGGCAAAATCTAGCGTATACTGCAACACATCATAAAGTGGAACCTTTTTTGGCCCAGATCCATAGTTCAGATACCTTTTAACACCAAAAATGTCATTACTTGAGGAAAGGTTCAGTAGCTAAACTGCAAGGGTCAAATATTCACTTATATAAAATTTCCTTGCACAGGGTTCGTAGCCACATTTTAGTTAAAAAAATAAGCACATATAAGCACTTTTTAAGCACATTTTAAGGAAAAAATAAGCATCTGTCTAATTACATTATACACAACTGCATAACCTTAAAAGAAAAATTAGACTTGTAATTTAAAATATGAGCAATGCAATATTTATTAAGAGAATGGGCATTACCTCAACCATGGAAAACAATTAACTTTTTTTTTTTTTTTTTTATATATATATATAAATTTTAAATGACAGTTTAATTTACAGAATTAGTTTACAATGAGAGGAAAAGAAAACTATGCAGAACTAAACTATATTAGAAGAGTTAATGATGAAATTTGAGTTCAAAATATAGAAAATAAATAATAATAAGCCATATTAATTGTATTCATTTGGCACCTAATAATAAATACAATTTATTTTTCCACTCATATTAATATTTAAATAATTTAACTTAAATCAAAATTCTGAACATTTTCTAAATTTTCATTGCATAACAGTTTTCCCTTAACTTCCAAGCAAAGTAATTCAAGTAAAAAAGAGGCACCTTTCTGAAATCAGAAGACGTGAAATTGCTTCATTCAGTCATCCTTTAACAGAAAAGATTAACTAACCTGCATACTCGAAAATTGCCGAATATTCCGGGTAGTAACTGGAAAAAGAGGAGTGGGGGAGATTGTAGGCGTTCTTTAGATTTAAATTTAGGCTAAATAAATGACTTTGACATTTCGATATGTTCATCATATAAAAATAGACCAACGAAACTGAGAAATATTCTGCTTAGAAAGCACAGTAAAACTCTTTTAAGTGTTCATAAATAAATCTCAGACTGAACATCAAAATTGATTATCAAGGCAAAATACCGCAAACGTTATTGCGCAATATGTACGGCGTAATTCTTCCATATGTGAAATTACGCAATCGGAATCAACACCTGCTGGTATTCGGAGAATAAAGAACTAAATAAAGGAACAGAAAGAGACTTTTAATCTGGGGTGTTTCTGATTCTAATTTTCAACAGACTGTATTAAATTTCCGGAAGAGAATCAACCTTCACTTAGGTTGGGTAGGCCGCAAAAACTTTTAGTCCTATTCAATCCAGATTGGACAGTGACAAAAAAAAGTCCGCTGCTTCAATATTAGAGATTTTGCGGGAAAACTCCCAACCTCCGTACTGTACAATGTATTGAAAAAAAAATTTTAATTATTTTGACTATTCGATTACTTTCCTTTTATTTAAGCCATTCCGAATATTATTCCTTAGAAAGCTAATCTGTGTAAAAACACACCCATTTTTGGAAGTTTTATCTACACTTCAGCAGTTACTGCAATTATATTATTATAAATATTCATACATATACTCATAATATAAGCATAACGATCATAATAAACACGAATATGAACTGACCACGCGGAACGAGAATGCAAATTATTAAAATCTTGATAGAAATTCAAACGTGTATAGTATTTGGGTGGGAGGAAATGAATACCGAATGCACCGGAATTTTCTACCGTTTTCGCAATTCTTTGACCAATAGAATGACGTGCACCTGTCTGTACTCTCGCACGCACCATAGGTTACGTTAATGCAGAGGAAGGGGGGAAAGCAATTTTCGGGAGTATGATTCACCATCTGACATTGCATAAAAGGAAGAAAAGTTGTTAATTTAGTTTCGGCTTTGGTACGGGGAAAAAATGCGCGTTCATTAAAAACAAAGGATTAAAAAAAACACTAAAAGCAAAAAATAAGCACTAAAAACAAAAATAAGGGCTTTAAAGAAAAAGTAAGCACCTATAAGGGCCTTTATATTTTATTTTCAAATATAAAAACTTATAAGCACTTGTAAGGACCGCTACGAACCCTGTTGCAAAATACAAAAGCAAAAAAAAAAAAAAAAAATCGACTTACAGTCATATTTGTAAAAAGTCTAGCTACCCTTTTTTAAAAAAACTACTCTGAAATTATTGCTGGAAATACATACATATTCATTGCACGTTTGAAGACAGTACAAGAGCTTAAGTGCTAATAATGCAAAGACTCCAAATACTACGGAGTTGAAAATCTGCTTATACCAAAAGTTTTTAAATCATAATTATAAATTTCATTCTATCTTTGTGAACTTTCACCCTTCTCTTCTCTAATGCAGTCTAAAAATTATTTTGTCCATGCTTTTCCTATAGGATAAATTTTGAATATTTCAACATAAATTATGATAAAGTAATATAATTTTTTTCTTAAATCAGATAACATGCTTACAGCTGCAGCAAAAACTCCAATAACACATTTCCCAACACACAGTTTTGATTAGTAATTACAGCAGTAAGTAATTGATTAGTAATTTATCTCTCATCCATATAGTGAACAGTTTCCACATGAATCCCTTGCCATTTATGATCATGAATGAAATTCTATAGAAATAATGTTTTTTATTCCTGCATGCACTTTCCCACATTAATTGTTTGGTAAAAGAAATTCATGCGAGCTACATATTTATTATTTGTATTGCCTTCTGCTTGGATAATAACTCTAGTAACAAAATAATATAATAACACCTCATAAATAGCCTTCAGTTCCACATCCATATTATTACCATCATTTCTGAATATTTTTTGTCACAAGTTGCAACATGTTTATTTCTGTTAGTTTTCAGGAGTTTTAGGGTTAAATGCTTAAGAAAAAAATATCTTTCTGTGATTTAAAATAAACAAAATGTAATTTCATATAAAAATCAGCCCAAATAAAGATGAAAATGCCATTGACTGCAGTGTAAATATTAGTCCAGCGTTTCCAAAGCATTGTCGAAATGTTACGTTTCTGTTTATTCATAGGCTTAATTTTCATTTTGGGTCTACAAGATGATAAAAATACTAAGAGATGGTATTGAACTTCACGAATACATACAAACTTTAGAAAAGGTTTTAAAGTGTTTTTCTATATGCAAAGTGGGAGTGACATTGATGGAAAATGTTTTAAATCACACTTTCAAATGAGGTAAAATGTATTCATGAAACAACAGACAATACACTATTTTAAACACTTTAAGTATAATCATATTAAGTATTGTACTAAATTCATGCTAAAAGGAATAAATGTTATTTATTCATAATGTTTAATTACTTTCTTTCATTTATTGTTCCTTCCTTTCACTCCACTGAAAAAACAAGAGATCAAGGTTCCACCAACACAAGGCTGGAAAGAAACATTAACCATTTAATGTTTCTTTTCAGCATATATTTCTAACTAATTCATTGAAATTCCTTTTAAAAAAAAAACTAGATTTTATGTTCAAAGTGTGGAAGAAAAATAATGAAGCCACTTTTAGGAAACATGATATAAATTTTTTAGTTACAAATCAGTAGTATATCTTCTTTGAAATAGCTCTCCAGAAATGTTACACATTACTTCTAAGTAGTTCTGATGAGAAGCTACATACCATTCTTAATGTACTACGCTTAAAATATTTAAAGCAAAATCACTTTCAACCGATCCATTACAGTTTTCTGGATGTTATTTAAATATGTGTCACAAAAAGCATTATTAATATTATTAATAACAGGTATTTTTGTAGCTACTGTTTAATACAAAGCATTACCACAACGTGGCACCCATTATCTTGAATTTTGATCTACAAATGAACAAATTTCCACCACAACCCTAAGGCTGACAGAAAAATCTCATATTGGTAATGCTGGTTCACAATCTGTCCAATTTCTGAATTCCTTGTGAATAATCCCAAGCATTGGAAAAACAAATTAACAATGATTTAATATTGGATTGATCATTGCCCATTTCTTGGGGGGGGGGGAATACTGTGATTTGCAAATGCGTTACACTAACTCTTGATTTTTAATTTTTGGATAATATTCGAATATTCAGGTTTTGCCACCACTTATCACTTTCTTGGGGAAATTTTAATTGCTTTGGATAAATTTCAGAAAATCCAAATATAATCATCCCTCGCCACTTCTTGCTTTGACTACTGCAGCTTTACTCTATCGTGGTTTTTCAAATATATTCATTACAAAGTTGACTGAGAAAGTGAAAATGATAAAGTGCACGCTCGATTTTCTCATTCGAATATATACCCTGTATTACAATGAAAATCAAAACTTCTTTATATAAGGACTACAGGCCTATGTATTCGAACACCACTGTAAATTCTTCAATGCTGGCTGCAGCCGCTCTACCACACCTTGTGTGTGGGCAAGTATTTCTTTCCAAAAAATTGGGCGTGCTGAAACCAAGCCAATCATATGTTGTTAAACAATTTGCTATCCTATCCTGCACTGACTGGCTCAGCCTCACGCAAGTTTGTTTTTTTCATATATGCTTCTACATTGGACATCGGAAATCACTATCACTATGTCACATCGGGAACACACACTGGAAATCACTATGTCTGTGAGCGTGAAAGATGATAAGCAGCCAGAAATTCTAGGGTGGGGGAGGAGGAAGCTGGCATTACACTTGAACGTTCTCTAGTAAGTCATGAAACCTACTGAAGAACTACAGGACATGATTGGTGGATGGGACCCACAAATGCTGTATGCATTGCAGTTACAGAATGCACTTAATGGAGCAATGGACCTCCACAAAAGCCTTTTCACACATATGAAAAAACTAGGCCAGCAACTATCACAATATTCTTCAGCCACATACCCAGACACCCACAGAAGCAACAACAGAAGATGATGCAGCAAAAGACAAGCAGCTTTCAGCAGAAGACGAGAACAATGCATCTGCAGAAGATACTGCACTCCCTAAAGACTTGACTATTGAGGTTGTGCCTTCAGAGGTGCAGTAACCTTGCTTCTCTTTGCTGTGCAGTACATCTATTCATCTTCATCATCAATACACTATTTTCATAGCTTAGCAGTAGTGTGTAAGACTGTGTGTATGCAATTAAACAT